ATGTAGATTTTTTTTTTTTTTTCATCAGGAATTGAACTCAGGACCTCACACTTGCCAGGCAGGCACTCTATAGCTGATCTACATCCCCAGCCTAAGTATAGATTTTCATAGGCGTATAAAACTCTGGCATCCTTGGAGTGACAGCCAGCCTGGTTGCCCTGGGCTCAGCCTCCTATACTCTCCTGGCCACAGTGGGACCCGCAGCCCAGCTGTTTTCCTGGCTGTGGTACCTGGGAGGTCTGAGCTCCCAGCCCCTATGGCTCAGTGCTGGGCAGGCTCTCCCTGTGCCTTGGAGGGACAGACTCTGGCTTGTCCCCAAGTCACCTGCCCAAGCTCACTGCCTCCAGGATATGACCCACCAGCTAAACACAAGCTTGCCCAGCCCAGCTCCTGGAAAGCACTACAGTGCTGGTGCCTATGAGCTCTTTGAGGCTGCTGCGGCGCCTGCCTCAGGCTCGAGTCCTCTCTCCACATCTCCTGTGCCCTTCTCCTCCTTTCTGTGAATGCTGACCCTCTGGGACACCCTGAGGTAAATGCCCTGCTCCCTAACCCATCTCCGAGTCCACTGCAGGGTACTGGGCCTACTGAAGATATACCTGGGGAGAAAGGAAGTGAAGGCTGCCTGGGACAATGGTCAGCCATAGATGCCGGCAACTCAGCCAGAGAGAGAAGAGGCTCTCTCTGTGGCTCTCTCTTTCCCCAGGGGGTGTGAGGAGCTGCAGGACCACGCTTCCTCAGAGCCTCAGGGGCACCTGGGCTGGGCGTGGGCCAGCAGGGCAGGTACAGGAGGAAGATGCTGCCCTGGCCTAGGGAGCCGGTGGGGCCCAGCCCCGCCTGGCAAGAGGAAGCAGCACCTCCCCCAGACATAGGACCTGTGGTTGGGTGCAGGCTGGTGCTGCAGGAGGCGCTGGGATGTGTGCGGGGGTGGGGTAGCAGGCACGGCAGAGCCACGGGAGGAAGAAGCCACACCCACCATGCACCACCTAGTCACCTTGCAAGGGAAGCAGTTTCACTTCCAAGGACTGAGAGTGGGAGCCATTGCGTAATCAGGGGCGAGTTCAGGGTGCCCTGGAGGGAGTGCGATCCGGGGCTGCTGGGTCCCCTGAGCTCTGAGCCACACAGACGGGTTCCCCTTCTGTCGTGCTCACATCTGTGTGTTGTTCATGCTTCACCTCCACGAGTTTAGCTTGATGGCCTTTGGCGTGGGCGGGGGTGGGGGGTACTGGAGGTTGAACCCAGGGTCTTGCTCTGAAATCCACCTCCAGCCCTTTTTTGAATCCAGATCTTTTTGGGTAGGCCAGGTTGGCCTTGGATTTGATCCTCCTGCCTCAGCCTCCTGAGCGTGGGGAGGGCAGGCATGCACCACCATGCCTGCTACACCATGAAATTTAGGTAGGAAGATCTCTGCCTCTGCATCCACTGCCAGCTACTGGGGCTCCTGTCACCTCCCTGCCTTGGCGGCCTCACCCCTGTCATCGCACCATTGCTGTGTGCGTTGCCGTGCTTTTACCTAAGCAAGCAGAGCACCATGATTCTTGCTCCCGTTGTGTGTGTGTGTGTGTGTGTGTGTGTGTGTGTGTGCGCTGGTACCTGTGTGCACCAGGGACACACACAGATGCAGGCCCACGTGTTCAGCTGTCACTGTGGCCCACTGGCCGCCTCCCAGCCCTCTGGCGTTCCCTCCAGGGGATGTGAGCGCTAAGGGCTGTGCTTTGGATCCCTGCTCGGCCCTGAGACCCACCCCCGGACCTCAGGGCTCAGTTGTCACGGCCTCTCCCTGTGTGCTGTTTTGTTTTGATAAGATGGGAGATAATATCAGCTTTAAAAAAAAATTACACTATATAGTGGTTGATACATCGCGTCCACTTGAGAAGTTTAGAAGTTTAATTACATGACTCAGCAAGGGGCCAGGGTTCGTTCTTTGTAAACATCCTCATTCTGTGCAGGAGGAGAACATGGGGACATCGTGTGAGCTCTACACCCTCACCCCAGGGCAGCCTGCTTCTGAGTTAAGGAGGGGAGGGGGCTTGCTAGAAGTGCAGCTGCTGCCGCTCCTCTTGCTCTTGGCTGTTTTCTGCCTCCAGGAACCGTGTTACTCTGTCCTGCAGCCAGCCAAATACAGACTGAAACCTCCACTAACTGAGCTGAATAAACCTTTCCTTCATTAATTTTGGGTGTTGGGTATTTTATCCAAGCAACGAGAGAAAGGTAACCAGGACATTTCATTGTTATTTTGGGTGTTTTGAGACAGTGTCTTAATGTGTGGCCCAAGCTGGCCTCAAACTCGGGATCCTCCTGCCTCAGCCTCCCTAGTGCTGGGATGTCAGGCATGGCCCCTCGGCCAGCTTTGTTATTTTAATCTTGGGCTGTTTGGAAGGAGGGAGTGCAGCCCCTCCTGAGCCCATGCCTCAGTATGTGAACATCCCAACACACCTGACTTCATCCTGGGCCCTGCACTTGGGCCCCAGACAAGAATGGATGGTTTAGGAGAGAATGCAGGAGAGGGCCAGGCTGGGGGCAGTGCGCGAGGCTGCAGAGGCCTCCCTGGTGACAGCAATACTCGGGCGGCAGCTCTGGCTTGCCCCCGTGGAGTTATAAAGTCGGTTTTGACCTTTGAGGGGATGTTGTGCTAGAAGTTTTGTCTCCGGAGACGGGACCCACTGTGACCCGAGTGTCCCGCAGAAGCCCTGGGGCCAGCTGTGCCTGAAGCCCCTGGATCTCGTCCGGGAGCCACGTGTTGCAGCTTCAGGTCCTGGGGCGCTTCCATCAGGCCTGGAGTGGAGAGTATTTGTCAGGGCAGGTCCAGGGGGCGGCGCCTGCAGAGTCTGAGCAGGCCTGGCTGAGCGGCGCCGTTGCTGAGGGTGGGGGCACGGCGACTCCTTGCCGCTGTGGTTGCCACGCAAGGGCTGGCACAGTGCAGTTCCAGGAGCACCGGCAGCTACTCCTGGTGCCGCTCTGGCAGCGGTGGGGCCCATCGAGGGTCCGCTGCAGCTTCATCTCTGGGTTCCTCCATGGAGTGAACAGTTTTCATGCTTTTTCTCTGTGTGTCTCAATCCTCCCGCCCCCAGAAAACTGCTTTCATTTGGTGAGCTCTGGCCCTGTGCTCTGAGAATGGACTCTGCCCTGGCCAGGGGGTGCAGGGAAGTCACCGCTCGCGTCCTTGTGTACACTGGCTGGCTGACACCAGGCGGTGGCGCCAGAGAAGCAGCTTCTTGCTTGCAACCCCAGGTCTGAGGCTTGTCCCTGGCTGGTCACCAGGACCATTGGGAGGTGCTGCAGAGGGACACGCATTCCCTTTGGGGAGACACAGATGGTCCTCCGAGGATGTCTGTCCCTGGCACTCCATGCTGTGCATGTGTTTGTCCCCAGCTGTGTTGTCAGCAGTTGTTAATGCAGGTACACATGGGCCCACGTGGAACTCAAACGCTCTTACCCTTGTCAAGTCAGAAGGACCCTCTGGTGATGCACTGGAGCTGGCTGGGTGGGCCACACGCACCTCTATATTGGATCTCCTTGTAGCCTGGCATGGCCCCCACCCGTAATCCCACACTTGGGTTCAGGCAAGAGGATTGCTGCAAGTTCAAGGCCAGCCTGGGCTTCCAAGTAAACTCAAAGCCAGTGTGGGCTACATAGTGAGATCTTGTCTCAAAAGCAAAAACATACTTGATCTTTCCAGCCCTGGCTGTGGGTAGAGGCAGCCATTGGCATGTGTTACACTTGGATGTTACACCCAAGTTTAATACGAATATCCAAGTTCCCTCTGGGAGGCCTGATTTGGAAAAGCTGGGGACCACAGACCTCGTTGGAAATTCCAAACAGCTGTGCAACAGGTGCCACTGCCATCTGCAACTTACCCCCCAGGGAGAATGGAGTGGCCATGGGGTTGCTTAACTGGACCAAAGTCACAGGCAGCCCGGCCCTAGGGGTCCTGCGCCCCTGACCTCAGACCGAAGCCCTGGCCTTGGCTGCCTTGGGATTCTGAGGAACTTAGAAAAAAGTAAAAGCCAGATATTGTCACTGCCAAGGAAGAGCTAAGAAGTGAAATGTGTTACTCGGATGGGGGTCGGACAAAAGACGGCATTAGAGGAAGGCTGAGAAAAGTATAAGTAACGCATGAGGTGTGACTGAAAACTAGTGAATGTTTAAATTTAAAAACTTATGACGGTAAAAGACGCGTTGCCACGAATCCTCCTCGAAATCCTCCCACACACTTTCAGCACACCCGTTTCACCGTCCCGGCCACGTCCTGCAGCGGCTCTGGCGTCCTTGCTCCTGAAAGTCTTCAGCTGCGCTGTCCCAGCTTCCCTGATGTCCTGAATCCGTTCAAAACGTTTCCCTGTCCTGGTCGCTGTGATCTGGGGAGGAGCCGGAAGTTGCACGTGCCGGATCTGGATCCGGCAAATGAGGTGGGCGAGGGCGCCGCGGTGGGATTCTATAAGCCGCCTTTGTGCTGGAGGGTGCAGCAGCAGCAACGCTCAGGAGAGAGCACTCCAGAGCTGCTCAGGAGGTGACAAGGACGACGCGACGAGTGTGCTTCCAGCAGGGGAAGGGCTTTGGGGGATCCATCGCACTTTTACTGTAGTGAGTTTTCTATGTAAACACCGAATATTGGGGTCCCCGTTGTGGAGACTTTAGTTCATAATGGTGCATCATAGTGGGTCCCTTAATTATGGCAGATGGATCACACTAAGAAGTTGAAGTGAAGGAAACAGATGTAGAATACACAAGAACTCTCCTCTGTGCTTTTTTTTTTTTTTTTTTTTTTTTTTTTTGCCGAACTGGGGATTGAACTCAGGCCCTTGAGCTTGCCAGGCAAGCGCTTATTCTACTGAGTCATCTCCCCGGCCCCCTCTGTGCTATTTTGTAATAATTCTGAAATGTTCTTAAGTAAGAAGTTTATTAAAACAACCCATGAAAGCTGGAGTCACACCTCCAGGCAAATCAGAGCAGCTGTGGTGATGTTGAGGAGCCCCAGAGGGCGCCCTGAACGCATCCGGAGAATGAGCCTGTGCCTTCTGTTCTCAGATCAGTCTCCTCTGAAGGGATTAGGTGGAAGCTGCTGTGTTGCCAGGCAGCCAGCGGGGCAGGCAGGGCTGGAAGCCCTCCCTGGAGGATCCTGAGGCCCTGCAGGGGAGTGTTTATTGGCCAGGGACTGGCATCCCCAGACCAGGTTCACAACCTGGGGTTCTGTAACCATGTGGCCCTGGGGATCAGGGTGGTGCCAGGCTGCTGCAGGAGGGCCCTACAGTTGAGTGCATGCCTAACCTCTGTCCCCGCAACCCCCACCTGCGCACCTAACCTCTATGCCAACCCTGCACCTCTGTGCCTAACCTCTGCCCGCACCCTCAGGTTTAACTGTTACCCCCCCACCAGGCGGAAGACACAGCTACTACAGCAGGAAAAGTGCCCACTGCAGAGCTGGGTGGCGAGCCGGCACCCACATCGCTGTCCCTGCAGTGGGAATTATCACAGAGCTGCTCTGAGAACTAACTGAAGGGACAGTGTGCAAATGCTGACCTCCACTCTCCAGCCACTCTGGGTTCAGTAGGTGCTGGGACAGTCCTCACCCTGCTGTCTGCTCTGCCTGAGGCTGGGGGCCCTGGCATGTGGCCGGCCGCTTCCTGGAGTTCGGCAGGCTGAGTCACCTTGGTGCTGCCCAGTTGAAGCTGGAGGAGGCACAGGACAAAGTCTGGAAACCCCAGTCCTGCAGGCAAGCGACTTCCATGTCCCTGCAGCACCCAGACCTGTCCTTGCTGGAAGGACAAGACAGGCTGGAAGAGAGAGGGCCGGATAGCTCAGATGCAGGAGGATGAGCACCAGCAGCCCACTGTGCTTCTGGGACCACTTGCCAGTCCATCCCCTGCCAGCCCTCCAATGTGACAGCACCACTGGACACCAGAGGGACATGGAGCCAAGGCAGGCTCTGGTTGGAGCTCCACAGCCCAGGGCTGAAGTGTGTCAGATGGGTGGTGACTCAAAGTTCAGGTTGGCTGCTCCCAGCCATGTTAGGTGGGGGAAGTTTCTCATCCTATCGGTGGAGTCTGGCTTCCTCACTGTCACTGACCAGAGCTCATGGGTCAACTTTAGGGATAAAGTGAGCAAACAGACACCATTAGCTGCCTGAAGCAGCAGCAATAGCTCTGTGACAGCAAAGCCCACAGTATAGTCCAGGGCACTAGCACGACACACTTGGTGTCTGGGTGGGTGGCAGAGGGCCGACTCAGGTACCGTGTCCTGTCTGCCCTGGCCCCTTCCTCTCAGGGGCTGTTTCCTGCTCTGCTTCCTGTGCTCCCTGAAGCGAGTAGCTCTGCTGTACCACGCTCTCCCCCTCGACGTGCCCCCTGGGGCAACCACCTTGGACTGAGTCCCCTTACACTGAGCTGAAGAACCAGTTCCTCCTGGAAGTTGTGGGCGGCGGTCATTCATCCCAGTGGCAGAGGCTGGCTGATGCCTACTATTGTTATTAGAGAGGAGGTGGCCACGGAGAGCTGCTGTGGCACTGGGTGTGCTGCATGCGGTTCAGGGGTAGGGACACATTGGAAGGCGGTGCAGTGGCTGGGAGGGGATCGGGAATGTGGTGCATGCAGAGCCTCATGGGCGGCTGGAGCACAGCTCTGTGCTGCTCAGTGCCCCAGGAGCGGGAAGCAGAACAGCTGGGAACAGAAGGACCCCGGCCACAGGTGGAGACCTGAGGACAGATGTCCTTGCCTGCACTCTCAGCACTCAGGAGGCTGAGGCAGGGGACTTTCTGAGAGTTAGGGGCCAGGTCTGGACTACAAAGTGAGAGCCTGTTCCAAAAAACAAACACAAACAAAAATGACGTCTTATGTGTATGTTACCAACTCTCTTCGAATGGAATCACTATGTTCTGCAAATGGGAACTAATAAAAATAAAAATCAAACACTTTCAGGTCTCAGAGGGGCACCCACCGCGTGAGGCGCTGTGCAGAGCCTCCTCTCACTCCCCCGCCCCCCCCGCCCTGCCCCCCCCCCCCCCCCCCCAGCATGCTG